TCTCTCTCTCTCTGTTTTTCAAGACAGGGTTTCTTTTGTGTAGCCTTGGCTGTCCTGGAACTCACTCTGTAGACCAGGCTGGCCTTGAACCCACAGAGATAGATCTGCCCGTCTCTGCCTCCTGAGTACTGGGATTAAAGGTGTGTGCCACCACTGCCAGCTCAAATCTTTTCCTTAAAAAGAAGTGACAGATTCAGAAGCCTGGAAATCACTAAGGATGTACTTAATCTGAAAAATAAGAATGACTTGGACAAAGAAAGATAGTGAGGAAATTTTAGGCAGAGGGGCCTGTGCGGCTTGGACCTGGACTACTATGCTCAAGTAAGCCAAGTCGTAAGCCTGGAGTGGGTATGCTTGCCAGGCCTGCTGGCCTCAGTGGTACTGAGCAAGACCAGAAGAGGCAACTACTGCTCAGCTGCAGAAGCATCTCTCAGCATTCCAGCCAAAGATAAGGCCCTGGCCTGTACCGCAGCTGCTGGCCTGTACCGCAGCTGCTGGGCTGTTCTGGGTGGCACAGCCCCTGGAGTAAGGGTGGAAATGGGTGTGATCCCTGATTTCAGGTAGTGAAACTAAGGCCAGGGAAGAAGAGTGCCTTGGTCAAGGTCACAGGGAGTCACCCTTAAGCCACATTTCCTAAAGCTCATAACGCACAATACAAAAAAGAGGAATGAGGCCAAAAGTCTAAGGAAAAGTCGTGCACTCTTGTCCCCTCGTGGGGATCCACAATGTCTCTGTGAAAGCCTGAGGAAAATGGACTATGACTTACTTAATGCAGCTTTCCTCAAATGTATTTAGTCTGAAAAGTCCCTATGACAGTTTTTAAATGTTTTCAACATGCATGTCACTGCAGGCAGGAAACAATTTAGGTAAACAGGGCCTTAGAGGAAGAGCCGTGATCCATGACAGACCCACTGCAGGCTGACCCTATCTTCCAAGTCTGGCATAGTCCTACACTACTGCCCTCAGGACGTGAAGGTCCTCAGCATGGCTGCTCCCTTCCAGGAGCACCAGGCCCTGAATCAACAATGAAGACAGGCTCTGTTCACAGAATGGCTTGACCAGTGTTGGGGTAAGGCCAGGTGACCCTTAACCTACTCTATCTGTGGGCTACTTGGCATCTCTGTTCTCAAGAGGTTGAAGACATAATTGTCTCCTGCTTTCTGGGGCCCATTTGTCAACCCATAGTGAGAAAGCTGGGATAATTCAAAGCTGAGATTATAGCCACTGGGAAGGCTCCTAAGGCTTTTTCTCTTTATGACAGGGAATAAGAGGCAGAGCAACCTATGACTGCTGCCTATATCTGGGCTGGACACTGAAACTGAAGACCTGACCTAGGGACTGACTAGCTTAAAACAGATGAAGTTCTAAATATCTGAGCTGACCACAAGAAGCACCAACATATCATTGCTACATATGTTTTCTATTCTACACTTAGACATGTCCCTAGACATGCTTACAGATGAGAATAAAAAAGAAAGAGAAACACTAGCATTTGTTGAGTTGCACCAGGCTAGAACCTATCTATAATGATTTATTGTGCCCACTTACAAATGCAGACTGCTAAGGCTCAGATGGGACAAGTTATTTTCCCAAAATAGGCATCCTTGATTGGCAGTATAATGTCCTTTACAGTAACCAAAAAGAAAAACAAAAAACCAAAAACCAGTATATCAGCACTGAGGTGGTATAAGGTATTAATGATATCTCTAGAGTTACTTTTTTTTTTTTTTTTTTTTTTTTTTTGTTTTTCGAGACAGGGTTTCTCTGTGTAGCTTTGCGCCTTTCCTGGGACTCACTTGGTAGCCCAGGCTGGCCTCGAACTCACAGAGATCCGCCTGGCTCTGCCTCCCGAGTGCTGGGATTAAAGGCGTGCGCCACCACCGCCCGGCTAGAGTTACTTTTAATTAGAGGAGAAAGAGTATCATTTGAGTTAATCAATTTCCTGTTTTCCAGTTTACACTCCTTAAACATGATGCCTCTCGTTAGGATTCAGGTTTAGTTGTGAAAATATGCAGACTCTCCAACATAGAATTAATTATTTCGAATCACGAATCCTCAAAACTGTTTCACTTGGGTGGTGCCAAGCCTACTTACAATACTGTGTGTGAGGAAGTTGCAGCAGGTGAGAACAGACTGTTCTGGCGAAACAAAAACATGGTAAAGAACTATGGCTGTGTTTCTGCATGAGAAGCAATGCCCCAACGTACCTGTGACATGAGATTGGGTGACATGCTCAATGCTGTGTGTCTGAGTTCTAACAGATGAAGGAGGAAATGTTCTGAGAAGCAAAGGTGGACATGCTGATTGTTTTTCTTTTTTTTCTTCCAACTTGACACAAACTGGAGTTATCTGGGAAGAGGGCACCTCAATTAATGGAATGCCTCCATCAGGTTGGCCTGAAAGCAAGTCTATGGGGCATTTTCTTGATTAATGGGTTGATGTGAGAGGGCCTCAATCGACTGTGGATGGTAGCATCCCTGGGCATGTGGTCCTGGATTAGCTTTTTTAAAAAAGGGATCTGCGTTAGCCACAGAGACCAAGCCAGTGAGTAATGCTCCTCCATGGCCATTACTTCGGTCCCTGCCTCCAGATTCCTTCTTTGAGTTCTTGCCCTAACTTCTCTTAACAATCGCCTGTGGTGAGGATGTGTAAGCCAAATAAACCCTTTCCTCTCCTCAAGCTGCTTTTAGTCCTGACACTTGTCATAGCAACAGAAAGCAAAATAACACTGATTGTTCAGATGGAGTAGATGCTGTATTTGGGGTGGAAAAACAACACAGGAAAACTTCAATGGTTCTGTACTTGTCAGACCATAGTGACTATTTTAGTATCAAATGATACACAGCATAAGATGTCAAGAATTCATCTTCCTGGGTGAAGTGAGGTTCAGAAATTTAAGGAGAATTTCTTTGAGAGATCCTGCGATAAATCACACAAACCTTTTATCTACCCTTAGGATAAAGTTAGTCATCTCCTGCACATGACAACACACTGTAAAAATCACACAAATAAAAGTGACCATTTCAGAAGAGCCAGTAAAGAGCAGTCTGAAAGTTCCCAGCACAGGTGTGACAAATGTCTGAGGCCTAATCTGACCCTTATACACTTACTTTATATACGTACTAGAAGGTCACTCTGTGCCCCATCAATCGGTACAAGAATTATGTGCCAACACAAGTCAAAACATGCTTTAGTTTTCAAAGTTGCATGGGACTAAAGCCCTCCAGAATTCTTCCCTGTATCCTGTAAGGAATTACACTTTTCAACTTCACACAGAATAAAATTGCTATAAGTGTTTACTAAGTCATGTCCTAGAATCAGTTTTTCTGTTATTTTTAATATAATGTAATAAAAGGTGTGGCTGCGGGGCTGGAGAGATGGCTCAGAGGTTAAGAGCACTGGCTGTTTTTCCAGAGGTCCTGAGTTCAATTCCCAGCAACCACATGGTGGCTCACAACCATCTGTAATGAGGTCTGGTGCCCTCTTCTGGCCTGAAGGGACACATGCAAGCAGAACACTGTATACTATGTATATTTATTTATATAAATAAATCTTTAAAAAAAAAGTGTGGCTGCAAACAAAATCACACCCAATCCTAGACAGATTTTGCCCTAATAGCCAGGATGAGAAAAAGCCAGCTGCCGGACCACTGCCGGCAGTGGTCACACAGCCTTTCTCAGCGCCCTGCCTTCCTTACACAGCCTCGCCCAGGGATGAACCTGCCCTCTTATTATCTGAAGGATCCGAACCCTTCCCTGTGGACACTGATGCAGTCACAGCAGGAACATTTGCAAGGGACAGGCCCAGAGAGAACTGTAACATTTTCGTGGCAATGATGACAATAACTCATGACAAGGGAGTTATTACACCTTGTTCCTCAGAGTGAAGAGGATCACACCTGAGCTCCCCCATGCAGTGGAAGCCACACCTTTCACCACCCCGAGGACTCAGTGGGCAGCCTGACACATGATAATGTCAGCAGGATTGTGTTAAGCATCAAAGGGGGGGAGGTGAAAGATTCTCACCCTAACGATTAGTCACTAGTACATGCAAGGTACATACATGCCCCTTGGGGGTGTTCTGAGGCCACAGAAAGATAAAATACAAAGAGCCTAGAAACTCATGCCTGGCAGAAGCAAACAGCAATCCTATTTCTTGACTACATGCTGGAAGATATGGATGCTATCCATCCAACCACTGTAACATGGGATGCCAGAATGACAGGAAAGAATATTTATTTCCTTCCCACATAGAGATTCTGTTATAACAATGCTGTGCCACAGACACAAACCATCTGTGGCTATTTAAACTTAATTAAAATTAATTAGAACAGAAAATTCAGCCTCTTGGTTGCAAACATTCTGGGTATTCAATAAGCTGGATTTGGCCAGGGCTCTGGCTGCCATCCACACTGGATCACACAAACAAGGAGCGCTCCCATCCATGCAGCAAGCTCTGTGAGGCAATGCTGACAGGTAGCTATTTGCCTTGCTCCTTGGGGTTCCCCAGTGTCTATCACAGTGCGTGGTGCAGGAGGTACCTGTACCTGTAAAGCCTGAGTTTCCTCCCGGAAACTGAGTTTCCATGCCCTCTCAGTGAGATTCCCAGCAAGCCATCCTGGGCTACTGCGTGCTTCCTAAGGGATACCTGCACTGTTCAAAGACTGCAGCAACTTGTGTGGTTTGTGAACAGACCCTTCACTTGGCCTGGGAGGAAAATGGCATTCACTTAAGGCCCTGTGCTTTTGTCAGGGTGTTCACCCTGATCCAGTTCAAAGTGCTGATGATGGAGGTGGCCCTGCGACAGCTCAGAGTGCTGCACTCCCTGGAAGTCTGAGCCCTGGTGGGTTCCTGTGACCTCCAGCCCCTCCCATAAGCTAGCAACCTGCAAAACAGAAACTCTCATGGGCAGCAGGCAGAGGGTGGGATCTCCAGAAATAGGGAAGAACGGGCTACACCCTCCTGGCCAGTTCTTGCAGGATCATCCTCCTCCCAGGAGAGAAAGAGGAAAAGAAGGCAAATCACTTTCCACTTGCTTCTGCTTCTCCTACATAAACTGCTTGCCTAATTTCCTCTGCAGCTAGAGAAATGTTCCTTGTGAAAGCCACTATTTCCACACATTCAAACTCTGTGGACTCCACCGGCCTCCCAGAGGCATTTGCATTTCCAGTCTCCCTCTGTCCCAGAAGCTTCAGCTGTCCCGTCAGCTCTGCTAGAAGACAAAAATCAAGAGCAAGTCACACTGACTTCAATCAGCAGGTCCTTCACAGAGCATTCTGGCTCCACTGGGCTACAGAGGTGGGCAGGAAGGGGCTCTAGAAGGTTCCATCTTAAGGCTCAAGACTACAACATCCTGCATCCCCGAATGGCGCCGGTTTCTCGGGGTCCTGCAGCAAAGGAATTTGAGAAAGTCAAACCAATCTAGTTACTCAGACCGCATCAGTAAAGCCTGCTCTCTAACCCAAGCCTGTGCCTCAAGAGCCCGTGGGCTGCAGAGAGCACCCATGTAGCTAATGAGACCCTTGCTTCTTTCATGGGTAAAAGCACACCAAATACACTCTGGCTACAGGAAAACAGGACCCTTCCACCTCTTGAGGTGTGAAGGAAGTGCTCATGAAACATCCGGCAGGTAAGGCAGTCTTGTCGAGCATCATCATGAGTGAAGTTTGTCTGTGTGCTGAGGACTGTGACGACAGAGAAACCTTGAACTTGTGTTTGCTGAATTAGCTGGCTACTCCCTCCTTCCCAAATCTCCACAATCCCTTTGTGTCCCCTTGACCTGGAAGAGAACAGTTCACTTGGACCGGATTCAAAGCACTTTTCACATTTATAGAAACAACCTCAGGAAAAGCACCCCAGCTGGAAATCTCACACGCAGTAAATACAAGGCGCGTGGTGTTAGGGATGGCACCTGGGCTTTGAACATGTGCTCTGCATCATCAGCATTGAAGCAGTCCTCCTGCCTCAGCCCACCAAGACACTGCAGTTACAGGCCTGTGCCACCAGGCACTAAAAGTTTGCCAAAATGAAATTGAATGTAAAAGCTAGATGGAAACCTGTGATCTTAAGATCTAAGTAGAAAATACAATTAGGCCCTGTATGGTGGCACACACCTTTAGTCCCAGCACTTGGGAGGGAGAGGCAGACGGATCTCTATGAGTTTTTGGCCAGCTAGAGCTCCTTAGTGAGACCTTGTTTCTAAAAGAAAAAATAAAATAAAATCAGAGGGGATAATAGGCCAAAGGTAACATAACAGGGATACTCCAGGTTAAAGTTTTAAGTGGGGATGAGGAGAATGGAGGAGATGAGAGAAGGATGTATGAAGAAACCTTATGAAAGTCCACTAGTTTGTAAACTAATTAAAGAATATACTGTAAAAAGATTTTCCATTATAAAAACATATTCAAGGAATACATAACCACCAAACCAGCTCTACAGAGAATATTGGAAGGAAAACTTTAGTTCAATAAACCCACCTCACCATCAAGTAAAAACATTACCAAGCTGAATGTGGTAGTGCATACCTTTAATCCCAGCACTTGGGAAGCAGAGAAAGGTTGATCTCTGAGTTCAAGACCAGCATGGTCTACAAAGAGGTTCTAGGACAGCTAGGGATACATAGAAACCCTGTCTAAAAAGATAAAAAGACAGTACCTTAGAGTAAAGGAATGGAAAAGGGAATTCCAAGCAAATAGAACTAAGAAACGGCTTTCTAATATTTGACAGAATGACTTCAGACCAAATCTAGTCAGATAAGGAGGGCCAAGTCACACTCATTAAAGGAAAGATCAACTAAGATGCTACTACAGTTCTGAACCCAGAAATCTGTATTGCTCTCAACTTTCGTTTCTTGTTGATGTGAATAGTGGTTAATGCCGACTCTCATGTCTCATCAAAGTGCCACGGATAAGTAACTCAGGCTCAGCTGTGGATGGATCCTATATTAGCCTCCTCCATCCAAGGCTCGGGGACCATCACAAAAGAGTGGGCAGAAAGAATGTAAGAGCTGATGGGTGAGGAGAGCTGTGAAATTTTGGCTTCTGGACATGCCATGGCTGCCAAACACATCAACTCACAGCAGCTATGGTTTCCTGTGCAAGACCTACACAAAATCAAGCCAGTAAAAATTCCAACATGATAAGGGACCCCTGGCAGGGGGGTCAGGGTCCGTCCTTGGTGCACAAGAGGGCTTTTTGGAGCCCAGTGCCTATGGTTAGACACCTTATACAGCCTTGGTGCAGGGGGAGGGGCTTGGACCTGCCTCAACTGACACTCCATGAGAGGCCTTGCCTTGGAGGTGGGAATGGGGAGCAAGTTGGGGGGAAGGCTGGAGGGCTGAGGAGGGAGGAGAGGGGCATCTGTGGTTGGTATGTAAAATGAATAGAAAATTACTTAATAATAAAAAAAATTCCCAGCATGAATGAGGGCAACACCCCGGACGTCCCACATTAGCAGAGGCGCTATTAGCAGTTGATGGCTGCCGAAGTGGGAGCACCTACAGACATGACCCACACCCATTTGCATTTGGACAGCACTGAGTGGATTCAGGAGCTATCAAAATATAACAGTAACAAAAAGGAGTACATGAAGCTGAGAGGATGATGGGGTGAAGGCCACCAGGGGGAGCAGGAGAGAGGTAACGGTGGATGCATCTAATCAAAATGTATTATTTAAATGTATAGAATTTTGAAAGGATACAATTATTTTTTAAACTTATTTGAGTTTTAAAGCGTCTAAACTCACTGTTAAAATACGAAGAAATCCCCAAACCTGAGATTTTTAGCAAATCAATGAGCAGAAATGCTCTAACATCTGAGCTGGAATTCCTTGCGAGGGTACCAAACTCAAAACTTTTTCCCACAAAAGGATTCACTCCATAGCCTTGGCCGCGCCGCGGAAAAAATCTGAGAGGCGCTCGCCCCCTGGTGGCAACGACAGGCAAGACCAGGAAGCCGATTTCACTGAGCACCGGTTTCCCCAGAACCTTAAAGGTTGGGAGAGCGCAGTGTCCACCAGACAGTTAGGGGCCGGCACAGGGTTACCCCTTGGTAAAAGTGTTCTTGTCAGCGTCCTTTACTTGTGGGTTGATTTTGAAATTACCTTAAGAACTCAACAATTGTGTCTACTGAAACCAATTCTTGTATAAACTCTTAATGCTAGGCGGCCAAGGGGACACTCCGAAGCCCAGAGCCCTCTTGCTGCCCCAAATCTCGGCAGCCCTGACCTCTTCCGGTCAGAATTGGTGGAGCCTGCCTAGAGCAAAAACTTAGCTCAGTCCTTCTCAGAGCTCATCACACTGCTGCCACTGGCAAGCTCCACCAACCCGTGAATGAGAATGACAGGAGATGACAAGATGTTAACAGATCTG